TCACTAACCCATATGTTTGATTCTGATTGCTCTTCAAAATACTTATATTGCAAACAATGTCATCATTGTTATCTACAGCTTCTGATATTATATTACGAGTACATTTAAATCTACTTTCATCAATTATTTTCATACATGAAGCTTGAATTATTAAACATAAAGAAACATTCCAAATAGAAATCACGATATATAGTATTGACTGCTGAGTGATTCATAAAGATGAATACTCTACACTTATGTTATTAATAAAATTAATGTTAATAGCGATTTCAAATTAACAAAATGTTTAAATTAATATTAAAAAATATTGTATAATTTTTTGGAATACGAAAGTACATACTCGAATATTGAAATTCGATACATACTTCATATAATAATAGACTTCTTTAAAGGCTTTTTACTCCTACATAATAAAAGTATAAGATTTCGAGTGAATATTAATTTAATTTACAAATACAAAAAAGTATATAAACTTCCATGTTAATAATCAAATTAGGTGCCTAAAGGTTTTTAATATTTTTATTACTTTTCTAGTACAAAATGTAATCCAAAAGGGCTTAACGGGTATTCTATGAATGAAATTTAAATTGTGAACTAATTGTATACTTAAATGGAATGTATATCAGGGTTACAAACAATTCACTTACAAAATACTCGAATAAATTTGTTCATTTAAGATTAAATAGAAATCATTTAATGTGGATGGTGTAATTAATTATTAATATATTTTGCCTTGCAGAAAAGTTCAGTAGGTTGAAATAAATGAATCAGCAGTTGAGAAGTCCATCATAAGTTAACAAATTGAAGTTGAGACAGTTTAATATAATTTCAAGAAAATGAAGATATGGTTATTTTCTTTATTTATTTCAATAATCTCTTTTTTTAATAATATTTAATTTTACTTACATACAAAGTTTAAAAAAGAAACTTCATAAAAAATAAAAATTGGAGAGAAGTGCAACATACCAGAAACGCACAGAACTTTGGAAGATGTACAACGGCGATAATTTTTGGATAAAGCACAGTATTATAACCTGGAGACAATAGCCAAAGAAAATAAAAAGTTTTTCTACTAATGAGATAGGAACTAGAATTGCCTCGTAAATGTATAGAGACAATGGAGCCAAGAAAACTTGTTGGCAATTAACGAACATGCCTGCAAAACGTATAGGTAGCCCTTAATACAGATACTACTGTACTGTACTAAGTATGTCTGAAACTAATGCCACTAAGGACTTGGGCTGTTAATGCACTAACTATTTCTTTAACTGGTATCGCTAGGGATCTGGGCAATTATTGTACTAACCAGTTTTTCAACTGGTATCGCTAAGACGCAGAGGTCTATGCCTACCAACCAGTTCAACGTACCAACCTGCCTAATTTTATAGAAAATGGGCAATACTAAAAATATTACTATTTTATTTGGAGACAATCATCATGCAAGTTGTCACTGAGTTCTTTCTGTGCTAAAAGCCTCAATGATATGCAGCCATCTGTATACAAACTGGTCACTTACCGTTAAAAGAAAATCCAAAAATCTCATTGAGATGCTTCTTAGAGACATCAGTCTATTGGTAGGTTTACTTACAGGTCACTGCAAACTTGGCAATCATGTTAGAAGATTAAATCTGTGGGGAAGTCGATAAGAGTGCCTCTCATCTACTATGTCTTTGCCCAGCTCATGCACGGCAGCGATTTAACACTTTAGGAGCATCTTTTCTAGATGATCTTGAACAATTACAAGATCTGACACAAAACAGCATTTTCAGCTTCGCCAAAAGTTGTAGGTGTTTTTAAACCCTGAGTTATTCCTATATATATAGTAACACAATGGCATAAGTGGATCCCCTAGGGATCGCCGGTATAACCTAACATACCTAACCTAGAGACAAATGTTTTGAAATCATTATAATAAAAATATTAGAAGGACATATTTAAATTTTCTGATTAAAAGTTAAAAATAATATTATAGAATTATGTTGTAGACAATCGTATAAGCTTTATGTAGTGAATACTTATGAGAATTTATAAAAGTTGGTTATGAAAATTTTCGGTGAACTGAACTTAATAGCCAAAAATACTATAATTATTCTGATATAGTATAGGAAAACCACATTATAATTATACTCTATACCTCACTTAAATGCCAACAAAATCAATTTTTTCTTGTTAAAATCACAGCGTAGGTAGTATCTACTAAGCAGTTTAGTTTGCTGTTTTTCTTGATAATTTTACAAGTAATTTAGAAACAATAATCGTTATATTGTCAGCAGGAACGCTTAAGCATGGATTAGCACCTTTGCTAGTACATGAGAATATTTACTCAACTTAATAGACAAAAAAGGAGCACTGAAACATTTAAACAGAAAAAAGTCAATCACCTACAATGAACAGGAACAGGAATATAAAAGTAGAAGTGAAAACTAATGATGCAAGGATACACAACCTCTACGTGTATTGAAAGTGTTCTAACATCGAACTATATCGAGCAGCATTTAAAAGAATTTATGTATCTTAATCCGATACGAATGTAGAATTTATGTAAATTTAATTTAAGTCGGTTTAACAAACAATTTAAACAAATTACACTTTAACTTCCAAACCATGACATCAGTCTCAGAATGGAGTAAGACAGCCCAGCTGCTGCTCTGAAGGTGGCTAGAATTTTAAAAATGGGAGTGTGGACAATACTTGCGCCAGTGATGCGATTGATTGCTATGGATTTATGAGCGATTTAATAGCAACAATTGTATATTTACAGAAAATAAAAACAGTGAGTTATGTACTTCAAAACTCTTTAAATATTTTTAAAGAAAAAATATCTAAAAAAGAATTTATCAGTAAATTTAATTTAAAATCTTACTTTTATGTCTGAGTAAACCACATAATTTCTGATTAAATTTATTAATTATTTTTTAATAAGATTTCTTCACCTTTAAAAATTGATTAACTGCGGTTTACTCGTACTTGAGTTAGTCCTGATTTGCAGGGAATTCGTCAGTAGAGGCTGATGTGCTGCTGACATTTATTTGAGTTGCTTTCATGTAGTGGAGTAGGATAAGGAGTAGGAGTAGGAGGAAGAGAAGGCTCTTTAAATATTTATATTAAAAAACGTATTGACAAATTGAATAATTTCAATGTTGAATTATTAATGAATTCACTTGCAAACGATATAAAAATAGGCACTCGAATTAATATACATTAAAGTCAAAATTTATTCATATTTTTTACATTTGTTATTGAAATGTACGCAATTTATACGAATACTTCTTCCTATGTTTTACATACATTTGCCGAGTTTTCTATTCACTTGCAAATAAATTTTAAATATGTTTTTACGCATTTTTCTGGTGAAGTTGATAATGTAACTGATATATTGAATAATATTTTATATTCTTTTACATATCTTTTTCTTAATATCTTTTAACAATTGTTGTTTTCAAAGTAAACAATATAGACAGTATAAGTAATTCTATTTTATGGTCCTACATTTGGCATATGTACTTGTCTTAGTAAGGCATAAAAATTATCTTATGCCTAATTATTATTTTTATTCGTAATACAAAAATTTATTTAAATAGAGTAATAGAAAAGTACTTATTACTAAAAACATAAGTACTCTAGAACTTTACTTAACATCATATCCAGAAATAATCCAACGTTTCTTATCAAACGAAATCCCTATAATAATAGAAGCACATTTACTACCAGAATCGAAAAATGAATACTATACCTACAATAACGAGCATATCAATATAATCATAAATATTATCACAATGGTCACCAAAAATTTCAGCTAGACAACATTGAGTTTTTCTTAGGGATGCTGACAATTAATCTGTTTTCGATAAGCATATCTATTTTACCTACTAAATTGGCCCTAACAATATGTTATTGGGTTTCAGCCTGAAGACTTACGATATTATTTTAAAATACTGTTACTCATATAATAATCAACAGCTGCAGTGGTGCAGTTAGCTTTATCTTCCATCAATAAAGGCTTCTAATATGTTATAATATATATTTCAACAAATAATCAGTTAAACAATTTTCTGCATACGAGACCATCAAATGAGTGGTAAATAATATTTAGAAAAGTGTTGCTTTTAGTGAAATAAGTTAACCTAAATTAAAATAATATGGGTATTCACGACAACAAGAATCTTTCAAGTACATATATCTTGTTAGCATAAACTTGAACACTGTTATCATGTTCGATGACTGAGACTCTAATGTATTAATAATTTTTTAGACTAAATATTAAAAATTGAACTTAAATATTTACGTTCCTTTCTCTAGTATAGCAATATCAACAGCAATATTTATTTTTTCGTATATATGAATATATATTCATATATATATAATA